GCGAGCCGCCATTTGCCCCTCCTCCTCCTCCTCCTCCTCCTCCTCCTCCTCCTCCTCCTCCTCCTCCTCCTCCTCCTCCTCCTCCTCCTTCCTCCTGCTCCCTCCTCCCCCTCCCTCCTCCTCCTCCTCCTCCTCCCTCCTCCTCCTCCTCCTCCTCCTCCTCCTCCTTCTCCTCCTCCTCCTCTTCCTCCTCCCTTTCAATTACCCTTTTCCTCACCTTTCTCACTCCCCCGTACCCATTCCCGGCTCAAGCCTGTCCCTCGCTTTCCGCAGCCCTTCAGCCGAGGGGCCGCGCCTGGCAGGCACGACGTGGGTCTCTCCGGGGCCGGAGGGGGCTGCTCGGAGGGCGTGGCCTGCACCCGCCCAGACCTCCCACACTGGGAAAACGTCGGTGCGGCGGTTTGTTGTTCGTCGTTGCTCGGCTCCGGGGGCCTCGCCGGGCCCCGAGGGCAGCAGGGAAGAGGGCTCTGCGAAGCCGGCCCGGGGGAAGGGGGTCGGGGCTTGCAGAGATGGCCGGCCAGGAGTCGGCACATCGGATTTCTGGGTATGTCCACCTTGTCCAGGCCAACCCCTGGGCCCAGGATCGGTGTTCGCTGTCCCGTTCCACGACCGGGTCGGAGTTTTCCCAGCCACTCTGTGGTTTGGGGTCCTCGTTTTGAGGAGGCAGCAGCGGCCCGCGTCCTTCCTCCTCCTCTTAGGAGGGGAGAAAAACACAGACTCAACTGATCGTCGATTCCCAGGAAAATATGGGAAAATGTGGGCAGTGGGGGGGAAGACAGAAACCCAGGAAATACGGAAAAAAAAGGGAATCGTGCTATTTGTGCGTGTGTTTATTAGTGTGCCCCAGGGCCCCTTCATCCTCCTCCTCTCTTCAACCCCCTTCTCGTCCCATCCTGCCTCCGCCCGCCCTCCGCATGTCAAACAGGTCGGCAAGCCCCTCGCGCGGTGCGTGGCCCCGTTGGGGGCTCCACCGAGGGCCCCAGCGGCAGCATCCGCACGGCGCGTCCGCACGCTTCGTTGCCCCATCGGGAGGCCCACCGAAGACCCCAGCGGGTGAGCGTCCGCATGGCGTGCCCTCACCCGATGCGGCAGACCCCCCACACTCGGGCCGGGCGAAAGGGGGGGATTGGGAAAGGGGGGTTTACGAAATTTGCTGCATGCAGCTGGTTTCGGTCTCACCGAGGGGCCCATTCCTCGATATATGGCCGCCTCCGGCGCCGGGAGGCGCCGGGAAAATCAGCTACGTGAGCTGATTCTCACCCCCCCCCTTTGTTATCCCCCCCTTTCGCCCGACCCGACACGTTTCGTGGCCCGATAGGGAGCGCTTCCCAAGACACTTCTCTGAACGGCAGGTGCTCACAGCTGCATGATATGAGGGAATTCTTCAACGCCGAGCGGAAGCGCTGCTTGGGGCAACTTGCATCGTTCAAAGCCGTTCCTGGGCACTGCTTTGAACCATGCGGATTTTTGGCCAGAAGAGTGCAGGGAGGGAGAGGAGGAGGGGGAGGAGGATGAGGAGGGGGCGGTTGCAAGGTGCGCCGATGGTTCCGAGTGTTCGCCCGCCAGGCTGTGCCCATAGGGGAAGGAGGAGGAGGGGGTGAGGTTCGAGAAAGGATCGGCGAAGTTTTTCTCGTCAGTTTCGGCCGCTGGAAGCCGCTTTGGACATCTGCGTGATGGGTGCCACCGAATTTCAGACATGTGGCAACCCCCTGTGTTTTTGGAGCTTAACCCCGACGATCTGCGTGATGCGTGTCAATTTTCCCCACCCCAGCAATTCAGAGCACACGCTCAGGGCGTGGTAAACCTGCCCGTTTTGGGCCTCCCCCCTTCGCGCGGCCCATCAACAAGGAGCAGTAAGCAGCAAGAAGTCAACAAGGAGCAGTAAGCAACAAGAAGCAGAACTGTAACAGTGGAAACTGGAAGCTGCAACTGGCACAGGAAACTGCGAAACTTCGCCCTACAGCCTGGTGGCCCCACAAGGGGGCCGGCGGATTCAGGAATCGCGCTCTCGTTTGGGACTTCCTTACAATGTATTCAGGAATCGCTCTCCCAGCGCTCTGGAGTCGCGCTCTCGCTGGTGACTCGCTTGCAATTTACTAAAGACCCCGCTGTCGCCGTTTGTGGCCCCCTCACTGTCCTACGTGGCCAAGTTGCCACCCTCAGTGGCCCCATCGTTGCCTTCTGTGGCACCGCATTATCTGCCCTTCGTGGTCCCCGCTGTCGCCCTTTGTGGCCCCCTCACTGTCCTACGTGGCCCATTGCTGTTGTTTTTTGTTGATTGTTGTTATTGGTGTTTGTGTTGTTGTTGATGGTGTTGTTGTTGTTGGTGTTGTTGTTGTTGTTGGTGGTGGTGTTGTTGTTGTTGTTGTTGTTGTTGGTGGTGTTGTTGTTGTTGTTGTTGGTGTTGTTGTTGTTGTTGTTGTTGTTGGTGTTGTTGTTGTTGTTGTTGTTGTTGTTGTTGTTGTTGTTGTTGAACATTATTCCTTCTTAAGAATTACTATTGTTGGGACCCCTGGTGCGCGACCTCTGCGCCGCGCCTAGGCCGCAGCTACATTTTCATCATTTTTTAGCGAAAGCTTTAGAAAAGTGGATTACCCCCGGATCCGGTTTTTTGTTGACGCTCGTTTTCCCTTGCAAAAAACAATAGAAAATGAAAATTCTTGTTCTTACTTGATCAAATTGCAAGAATCCCTTGCAAAAAATAAGGTAAAGTGGACATTCGTGCGCGCAAGACGAAATCCTTCCAAAACCTTAGGTTTCGTAACGATTTTAACATAAAAACATCAAAAACCCAATGGTTTTTTAAGAAAAAATTGTCAAAATGTCCTTCCGCGCGCGCTGTCCGAATCCCACAAAACCAATGGTTTTTCAACATTTATGTTACATGAGCTCGCGCGAGCTACTTTTTCTTGTTCTAACATAATCAAATTTCAATAATCCCTTGCAAAAAATAAGGTAAAGTGGACATTCGCGCGCGCAAGACGAAATCCTTCCAGAACCTTAGGTTTCGTAACGATTTCAACATAAAAACATCAAAAACCCAATGGTTTTTCAAAAAAAAATGTCCAAATTTCATCCCGCGCGCGCTGTCCGACTCCCACAAAACCAATGGTTTTTCAACATTTATGTTACATGAGCTCGCGCGAGCTACTTTTTCTTGTTCTAACATAATCAAATTTCAATACTCCCTTGCAAAAAAAAATAAAGTGGACATTCGCGCGCGCAAGACCAACAAAAAACACGACGATCTCAGGAACTTGCCCCAAAAATGTGACCAACTCCGCTCTCTCTGTCTCTCTCTCTGTCTGCTCTCTGTCTCTCTCTCTGTCTGTCTGTGTCATGTATTGTATGTCACAATTGCAGGATGCTGGGCACACGCGCGCCCCGAATAAGTGACCAAGTTCTGTGGGTGTGTACCCCACGCCAGTGTAGTAGCCACGGTCGTCCGCACGCCACGAAGTGAAGTGTCCCAACGTCATAGGGCGGGAAGCTGGGTTTGGGTGGTCGCGAAGAGTCGTTTGGATATTTGGTAGAGCTTGAACTGCCCCCCCACGAAGTGGGGGTATTGTCTCGCGTCGCATGAAAACCCTGGCACTGGTGAGAACACTGAGCGTTCGGGTAAAATGATTGTTGTTGTTGTTGTTGTTGTTTGTGTTGTTGTTTGTTGTTTTTGTTAGTCTTTGTTGTTTGTTGTTTGTTGTTTGTTGTTTGTTGTTTGTTGTCGTCGTCTTCCCTGTGACCCACAGGGGACCCACTCCGCGACCCACCCGCGACCCTCCCGCGACCGATCCATGTTGGTTTGAAGAAAAAATTGGCGCTCGCGGCCGGCTCGTTGTACAGCGCCTGCGGCGGGCTTCTCCAGAGTCTCGCTGACTGTCGACGTCCCCGCCGCCCCCTCACTCTTATCCGCATCTGCGGGGTGCTACATGGAATTTCTGGGGCGCGCCCCCCGCCGCGAGCAGCGGTCGCGGGGGGGGCGGCCTGGCGGGGCGCGCTCTGACCGCCTCCCTGGGCTTTGGGTCGCCCCCTACGCCGCGGGAAAGCTGTCGCGGGGGGGGGGCTGGCGGGCCGCGTCACGACCACTTCCCCGGGCCCTGGGCCCCCCCCCCGCCGCGAGGAAGCGGTCGCGGGAGGGCGGCGCCCTGGAAAGGTGAGTTCTCGTCCCCTCCTCGATCCTCCGCACTGTCTTCGCCCTCCCTCCACTCCTCTTCCAGTGCCGCTCGGCCCGAACCGGCGCCGACGATGGGTGCGGCGGCGGCTGCACGGGCTCACGCCTGTCAAGCATGGACAAAGGCTTGCACATGGTGGCAGATATGTGCGCAACGGGGTCTGGCGAGGAGGCAGAGAAGAGTCGGGCCGCAGTTGCGGTGCCTCCACTGGGCAAGGGCGGCGGTGGGGGAGCTGGCGGAGGCTGGGACGACCGCAGTGGCGGATGTGGCGGCGGAGGTGGCCGCAGTGGCGGATGACAAGGCGGATGTTGCCGTAGTGGCGGGTGGCAAAGCGAAGGAGGGGGGGGGGTCCGCGGCGGCGGTGGCCGCAGGTTGACGGGAGTGCGGCGGCGGAGGTGGGCAAGGCAACCATCGTGGACGGGAGGGTGGCGGCGGAACGGACGGCGGCAGCGGAGATTGGGAGGGCCGCGCCAGCGGTGGGGGGAGAGCGCGCCGTCGAAATCACGCAGGGCCGCTGGAGCGGATTGGAAGGCAGCCCCTGGAGCGACTGGAGAAGCGGCTGCTGGAGCGACCCGGGAAGCGGCCGCAAAAGCGCATGGGAAAGGCGGCCCTTCGACAGAGATAATGAAAGACGCTCTGGCCGCGGATCCCACGTCCACAGCAGCGGCGGGCAATGGGGGGCCGCCTCCCACGTCCCTCGGGGACAGCTGCGGAAGATGACGACGGCCGAGGGACGCAAGATGGCGACAGCGCAGTTGCGTGCTTCATTGCCTCCGCTGGCGGCGCGGGAGACGGGGTGGAACTACGCGGAGGCTCGGGCGGCAACGCAGG